TTTGTTGTTGCTTCGCGGGATCCTCGATCTTAAGTGCGAGAAGCTTCAGTGTCTCAGTTACAGTAGCCAGTTGGTTCTTGAGATCGTTAACTTCTTCCTGAGTTGCCATTATAACTCTTGCTTTCCTCTTGCGAGCTATAGGTTTGTCGAAAAGTTGGACTTGTACGAAGAGGTTATCTTTGATTAATCGTCCTTCCTTTCTTGACCACGCGCTGTAAATTAAGCCAGTTTGCGTTTAAATTACTTGACTCGAATCAGTTTGACTTTATGGCTTTTATTTTTAAAAATAAGTATGCATATTTTTAGGGAGCAATAATGTACATGTGTTTAGGGAACTTAAGTATTATTATTGGAGGATTAATATCCGACTTACTCCCTTAAAAAAATGACGAAAAATAACGCGCGCACACAAGACTCCCTTAATCATGGTCAAGACATGTGTATTAGTGTGTGCATTGAGTGTAAGTGACATGCTTCGACTCTTGTGTAAGACCATGGGACTTAGTGCCTAAACTCGAATATTGATTCAATTAAGCATTATTGCCGGAAAAATTAACCGAATTAAACAGGAAACTGATTAATTAGACATTAGGTGATGACTCGACAAATAATCCGAACTGTCGGCCAAGCGACAGGACTGGCGTCACAATATGGTGGTTGGCGCCAGACTTTTTACTAAATGTCTGGCGCTACACCCTATACAGTGGCACTACAGCTCAAATTTTGGCACCAATATTGGAGCCTCGGTCTGGGACTGTTTTCGATATTATTAGTCAACTAGGGTATGCCTAAAGTCGTACTAGGTCAATTCCGATTAAAAGAAGAAAAAACTTTATTGACTCGAATTAATTAATTAATTAGGCAAAGTTCTTTAAGTCATTAATTTTAATCTCAACACAAATCAACAAACGGTTAAGAGAACATAGAATATATATGCACAACAAATAATGCACAATTAGGGAAGTAGGCACAATATGATGCAATGAGTTCGCAACCTAACCATGGTTCTAGTTCTCTAAAGTTCGGGATATGGTTTAGTCAAATAGGGTCCATGGTTAATTGTCCAGATGCACCGCGTAGAAGCCTAACCGTGAAGGGTTAACGCATGTGGATAGAACACCGCGAGTTTTTAGAAAAAACTCACTTCCATGGTTTGGTGAATTCAACCTCTCAGATGTACCCTTTGTTGCCAGAAGCGTTCAATCGGGTAGATAGAGCATGAATTCCCAAAGGGTTATGTCCATATGTAGAACACATATGGGTTTCAGAAAAGTGAGAAAAAAAATCAATCAGGAAGTAGGATCGAGCAAACAATACGAAAAACCGGTTGAAATTAGAACGCATATTTCTGGCTCGATATTGGGGGAAATTGGCGCCAGAAAACAGAGACTGGCGCCAACTTTTAACTGTAGCGCCTGGCGCCAATACTGGCGTCTGGCGCTACGGCAAAAAGTGTGGCGCCAAGCTCTGGCCCCTGACGCTACTTCCCACATGCCTCAGCAGCTTTCTGTGCTCAATAAAATCATCCAGTTTCGCGCGGTGTTATTTCAGTCCTAGTTGTGAAAGACATTTCTCAAATTTCCTACGTATAAAATCCTTATATTTTTGACTCATTACGGATGGTCTTTCCAATGAGAACCTTTTTATGCATATGCCACAATGTTAATCAAAATTACGCACATGAAATACTTAGAACTTTTCGAGTCTCATCCACTCATTCTAAATCATTGCCGAAACAAATTCAGGAATTAAAATAGAAATCCTCCCCAGTGGAGTCGCCAAAAACTGTGGGGAATAGTTTCAAGCCTTTAAAATCCCACTAGCTTGAACCCCACTATGATCATACACTAAAGTACGGTGGCGTCCAAAAGGGAAGAAGATAGAGCAAAAGAGTCGCCAACAAGTTTTTAAGGAACTTGTAAACCGTTCACGAGGTGAAGGTTACACCCCTTAACTATCCAAGAGATCGTCAACTCCATAAGGTCATGAACCAAATAAGGGTTCGGGGATGATGGTACAAATCCAACCTAAAAGAGATTGAACCTGCCCTAATAATAGGCCTCTACTTTATTCTGCTCGTATTCATGTGCGCTTTCTGATTAACATACAATCAATAGGATTAACCCTAAACCTGCTTAAACTATGTTGGTTGAATATAATGCACAAATAAACTATTATTGGCGATCACTTGAATTATAATCACAATTAACCTAAACAAGATTATTAATTATCTTATTAAGCGTGATTGCAAATACAAATTCCCTTTAAACATATAATAAAAGGTGATCAAGCAATAACAATAATAAATATGATACATATCAAGCAATATAATAAATAATCAATAATCAATCATAATCATAATAATCATAAATATTAGAGAGAATATAGGAAGCATCATATTTTTAATCATACTTGATATTAAAGTTACCCTAGACATGATACTAGGAATCAAAATAACAATCTAAGCATGATTTCTATATCATAATATCAATTAAACCAATAAAATACTTACTTGGATGCCTCGTACCTCTTTCTAATTACAAAATACACGCGTTAGTAACTTCAAGGAAAATAATAATCAAAACAATTAAATTAAATAATTGAAAGAGAGATTTGGGACCAAACCCTCAGAAATTAAAACCTTTCACGTCTAGGGCGAAGGCAACTTCGAATATGGCTAGGTGTTTCTAGATCTTGTGAATACGGAATTTTGTATTAAAAAGAAAAGTATAAAAAAAGAATGAATGAATGTTAAGAATTATTGAAAATTGATGAATGAATTGAATTGATGAATGATTTGTGAATGAAAAGAGTTGATGAATGAAGAAGAGAATTGATGATTCTTGGCGAATGAATATTGATAATTGGTGAATGATAGATGTAGATGATGAAGATAGTTGGTAATTGGTGAATGAAAACGGAGTTTTTGATACGATACTTATAGAGAAAATCATTCAAAAAAGATAATTTATCAAAACAGAGTCTGAAGACCACAAAACAACCTTGGCGCCAGCCTTGGCTCATTGGCGCCAGGCGCCAATGGCTGGCGTCTGGCGCCAATCCTGGTTCCAGGCGCCAAGGCCTGGGGTTGGACGCCAATTCGGATTTCAACGCGTTTTCGAAAATCTGATAAATTCCCGTACTGGAAGATAAAATAATATAATTTCAGTCGAAAATGCTATTTGATCTAATTAAAACTCTGAAGAATCCTAATTGAATTAAGAATGATGAGACCTTCTAGAATGTTCTAGAAGACTAAAACCATTCCTAATTACATTAGGAATGATAAATCATATTAGGCCCTCCCCTAGATCATTGGGCCATACTTAAAGCTTAAACCGGGCCCAGTTTAGTAAATTGGCCATAAATTCCTCAATATTCATCGGAATTGGGCTTATAATATATCGTTGGAAAGGTCTTTGCAAACCCCATCCAACTACACCACTATTGGACCCATATCATGGACCAACCAAACTGGATTGGCTGTTTTCTTAAAATAAAGTTTTCAATAACAGAGAGAAAACAAAAGAATTAAAACTTTCCGCAACACCAGACCTTTTCACACTTTCGTTTCATTCGATTATGATTCAACGTGAAAGGTACTCATCACCGGGTTCGGTTTTGGGGAGACACAAATGGGTGTCTACACATATGAATGTCCCAAAAAAAATTGAAAAAAAGATGAAGCTAGGGGTCAAACCCTTGATCTCCAAGATGCATGGTAAAAATTTCCACTAAGCTGCACTTCAACATCTAGTATTATTCCTCACAATATTACTTTTAAATGTGTTTTTCAAAAAAAAAAATTGTGGATTTAATGAACCTATTTGAACCCTGTATCCGCCCCTACCACAAAACCCCATCTCTAAAAAAATCCAACAATTCCTCATAATCCAAATAGTGAAATTCCTTCATAGCTTATGAAATCTCAAGATTAGTTTCTTCAACAATGTCCATTCATTTCCCCCAACAAAGTTTAACAACGGAAGGATTTCAACGGCTTCGCCTCCAATTTCTAAGAAACCACTTAGAAAAACGATGAAAATTAATGGAATGGTTATCGCCAATAGGGTAAGGTGTTTATCGTGGGAGAAAAATTAACCTTCTACTATGGAGCTCATTAATGGAGGATGAAGATAAAGCTTCATCAAACGACCAAATTTTGTTAAGGTAAAGAATTTTAACTTAGGTAAAATGGTAGGTGGACAACAAATCAAAAAACACAAATATTTTTACAACATGTTTACAAATATAAGTTATTCTACGTAGAGCTGGGCATAGGTCGTGCAAGCCCCACTAGTACATAATTAACCTTAAGTAACACCCTAAAAGTTTTACACAAAGTGGTAAAAGTGTTATTATAGACAATTGGTAACACTTTAGTGGATGATACGTCCACTTGTTACCTATGGTCTTATGTAACAGTTTTGGTAACGTATGGTAACACTGTTAAAAGTGTTACTATAAACCCTCTTATGTAACAATTTTTTTTTTATCTTTAGTATCATTTTTAAAGTGTTACAATTTATTTCTTATGTGACACTTACTTATTTTTAGTAACATTTTTCAATGATAAAGTATCACTATATTTGACATTATGTATCACTTTTCAAACTAATGTAATATTTTGTTGATTATTAGGTAATATTTTAAAATCATGGTTTGACATATAGTATCACTTTATTCGACATTATATATCACATATTACAAAGTAATGTAACAATTTATAAATTAATTGGTAACATTTATAATAATAATAATAATAATAATAATAATAATAATAATAATAATAATAATAATAATAATAATAACATTTACTTAATTTTTTAAAAAAATATATAAAAAAATTATATATACATATAACAATTACTAGTATAAGAAATCAACACATATGATAGAAAAAATTTGGATTGAAATACTTTCATAATTCTTACAAAAAAAATCCATTAACACCAATTTTAATGTTTGGCCAAAAATATAATAATTCAAACACAAAGAAATTAAATTAAGTTCGATCTCTAGCTTGGAAACAAAAAAGTTCAAAATTCACAAAAGTTAGTCATAATAGTAAAGAGAATTATTAACAACTTATAACAACAGCTAGCAGAATAGAAGGAGTAACAGAATCTGCTAACAGCAGTCTTTTGCACCAACTAGCAGTAGCACACATGAGTGGCAGCATCTAACAGTAGCAGACAGCAGTTGGAGCAACTTATAGTAGCAGAGAGTAGTGGCAGCAAACCGAAGCAGCAAAAACAACAGCAAAAATAGCAGTAACAGAAAAAACAACAGCAAAAATAGCAGTAACAGAAAAAACAGCAGCAACAACAAGAGTAATAGCAAAACAGCTAAAAGCATACAATAGACAGCAGCACCCAAAGTTGGCAGCAACAACAGTAACTGCAAAAAAACAGCAGCAAAACAGCGGTAAAACCAAGTTCTTGCAACATCATAAATTCTTATCCCGATTCTTCATCTTGATCCAATTGGTCCTATGTGTGAAAGCATCATACATCAAATAACAAGAACAAAAATGAAATAACGCATTAATAAAAGTTAGTGCTTTTTAAAAGATTATATATTAACCATTACCTCATTTAGCTGTTGTTCACTAGAGTGCACAATGGGATTATGATATGTAGGTTCTGGATTGGATGACACATTTTCAAGTGATCGAGTCAAAGTATCCAACACTTCATGATCAATTTTCTTGAGCGTCTTCATTAATTTTGCTATAGTTTCTTTCACAATTTGGTCTTTATAGGGCTTTAAGAACGAACTCATCGGGAATTATTGGTTTGTTGCTCTTTCCCCTTAGTGAACATATCTCTGGTTGCTTTTTTTCTATGGCCAAAGTTATATGTTTATTCATTACTTCATAGTATGCAAAATCTCCATCAATTTCACTTTGAATTTGTACCTCCTCCATCTTGTCCTATAATGGATATATAACAAATAAACAACTAATTTGAGACAAATAATCATATTCAAATAATATGGAGACAACAAGACGTACAATGTTACTTTGGGTGGGCTCACAAGATGTTTTGTATTTTTTGTCTGCTGTTCTTTTACGACTTTCTTTGTACATGAGTGCTAAGGATGGTGGGTTGTTTTCAACATCTAGTTGTTGCTAGAATAAAAGGCACACCCAAATAAGAACTGAATGAATATTGTTTACATGATCATATCGAGAACGATAAGAAGGAAGAATGGTATGAAAACATACCAATTTATGTTGTTTCCTTGCGAAAGTCATAGGACCCATAGTGTGCCTATCTTTTTTATCTTTACTTATTTCCCTTTTCTTTTTGTTGTCTTCTTTCATGCATGCATAACACACGGTTCATAGCTTAACCTATTTCATTTTGAGAGGGAAATAAGCAATTATAATATAAATGGAAACTAACAACATAACTTTACCTTGGACTGGTTCCAAATTCCAAAATTCTAGCCACTCTTTGAAATGTGCTTCTGGAATTGTATTAGGTGGATTTGCCAACCTATCATCATCATTTTCGTACAGAGTAAAGTTTGTGGCCTTTACACTACATTTATATCTACGCCAAAGTCTTCCCACGGATGACAACACACAATCTTTACCTTTTTCTAGGATAATGTATTTCTTCTGCATTAAGTAAAATATTAATCAAGAAAATTAGGGATCAATAAATTACGTCAGCTAAAACACAAGAACAATAAATGCCAGTTTTTGAATTTGTAAATAAAAGGTGCGCACCTTCACGTAACTCCAAATTTGTTCTTTGTCTGGCACATAATGACAACTAATCTTGTTCAACAGCGCTAGAGAAGAATTACGAGCTAAGGTCCCTAAGAATCTTGTAAATGTATTTATAATCTTATCATCGGGACCTATAGGATTTCCCATTTCATTAAGAACAATAGGATTATGCTCCTCTAATGTCCATTCATAGACATCTTTACACATAGTTGTTCCTCTAGTTCACTTACTTTTTGGAAGTGCTATATGAACATTAACTCAAATAAGTCATTAAAATCACATATGGCTCTTAACATATCTATCTTGAAATATTTAGAATGGAATGATAGTGATCATTACCTATTTTTTCAGTTTCGTGCTCTTCATTCATTAGTGGTTCATCTTGCATTCCTAGCTCCATTGGGGTAAGAGTACTCAAATCATCACTAAACTCATCTTTTTCATCTACATATTGTTCCAAATTGCATTCATTTGAACCCATATGATTCTCATAATCTTCTTGTAAGTCATGTCCAAATCTTTGTGGTTGTGAAAAACTTTGTGAACTAGCCATGTTAATAGGTCGTAGTTGTCGTCGTAGTAATAAATCACTTTGTTTTGCTCTCCACTCTTTTTCTAGCAACTGTGTTTTCATTTGCCTATAAGCACTGAGTGAACCAGATCAACCACTGTCCTACTCTGCCCTGTCTTAAATTGGACACCATTCCTAATCTCAACCTCTTTCTCTTGCTGATTATGGACTGCTGATTTTTTCTGTGTAGTAACATTGTCCAATTGGATTTTTCTTTGCGTTGAATCTCTCCCTTATAATCCTTGATCTAAGTGTTGTCTCTCGGTGGTTTGAAGATGCATCTTCGTTCGATTAGCCATTGGTACTGAAGAGACACATGTTGTGTCCTTAATGTTTGGGGTTATCTTCCCTCTCAATGCCACAACCTGAAATTAAGTATGTGTGGAATTCATTAAACAAGTATTAAATGATTTTCTAACAATTATAATTCACACAATTATGTTATAAAAAGAAAAAAAAAAACACCTTCTTTGAACGTGACCTCAAGTTTACAGCATTTTTCCGTATATCATTTTCATCCTCTTCACTTGAGTGGTTCAGTTCACCCTCTTCATCAGGTGTATACTCGTCAGTATCTTTAGTCACTTTCTTCCTTTTTTTAGATTGTTTCGATCCCTTCATCGACTGCTTCATTTCATAAGCCATGGATGTAACCCCTAAATCCTTAATTCTGATTCTATTTTGTTCTATAGTTTTTGTCTAAGTTTCTCATATTCTACCATCTAGATCTTGCTTCCTACAAAGGATACACAAGACAGTCAGTTTAGAGGTTTATAATGTCTACAGCAGATATCTGTTAACAAAATTAATGGTAGTAAAACATTGATTATTAACAGAGAATAAAAACAAAAATCCATGTTATTAAGAAACATGCCAAGCAAATCCCTATCTTACTGGTTGCTTCAGAATTAGAGAAAGGAATTTGAGTTTTAGCCAAATGAGTGAAAAGGGGTGAAAGAAGTTAAATAGAGACAATCCCGGCCCTTAAAAAGTTGTACATCTGATAAGCAGTAAATGGCCAAATCATTAGAGCAGCAAATAAGCAGACAATCCCTTATAGAGTTCTACATCTGATAAGTAATAAATGTCGGTCCTTTTTTCATTGTATATGCTTTACTAATAGCACTATAGTGAAGGAAATGGATTAAGTTCTTATGAGTCAACTAAAATTAAACAGGTGGCCCTTTTCGGCTTTCTCTCAATCTTGGTAAAGTGGGAATCAATAAATAAAGGATTTAGTTTGACTAAACATGTACTTGAACGTGTAACCTTAGTTCTTAGAATTGATATAATTGTACACACTTGGTGTGTAGAAAATGGATGCTATCCATTAGATTTAAGTGTTTTTTGCACCATATACATGTATTCATTCAGTTACCATTATGATTGTGATCTTTTGTTTCACTCTGTCTTTCTTAAACGTTATTTGAAGCTTTTGTAAATGCAAATAGAAGCTGAAATGTCTGAAGCAAAATGTTTATTCCACCCCTACCTGGCCATATGGCAATCAAAATGTTAGTGCATTAGAGCAACAAATAAGCAGATAATCCCTTTTATCCCCAAATTTGTTAGGGAGAATATCCTGGTTTCTAAGAAACCAATCTTCTCTCAAAAGATTTACAGAACATAGAAAGATAACATGCAATGAAAGTTATAAATCAATCTTCATGAATAAAGGGGTTACATAGACCCAAGCTGACAAATTAAACCTCCCTCCATTTTACTAGCATGCACATCCAGAATAAAAAATAAAGTAGAATGAATCTAGTTGAAATATAGCCCATCAGCAGCAATATTAATCCCCATGGTAACATAGAAACTGATACATTTCAGATAACTAGTCAGTCCATTTCCTACTTATCTGCTGCTCAAATGCACTAACCTAGAGCAACCTCTACAATAGCCTAGACACATATCCTAATATATATATATAAACACAAAAATATGAGAGCAAATATGCACAAACATAACTTGAAAAAATCACTTGAGCACAGAAACAACACAGAAAGAGCATGCATATCACCTGAGTTTGGGGATTTTGACTGTAAGTTGACGTGAACTATAGCTTGCCGAATTGAGCTTCATAATTAAATTATGAGCAGTCCTAGCATATGATGTGTTTATAGGGGTGATATTTATAGTTTAATGGGTAGTTAATCAAAGATTGGTGACTGTTGATGATTGAATAGGGCCAATAGCAGTGAGTTTTGTCTTGTTAGCATTGTTCAGTGACTTGGGGTCATATAAGTTTATACACAATTCTCATGTGACTGTATGTCTTATAGTTTATTCATTTAAATTACTTTAGATTGGGAAATCTTATCCTAAAAAGTATAGCACTACAAAGTATAGCACTACAAAGATCAGATGATTAAATAACAATGATAAATGGAATTTCTACTGACTATTTTAAGATAATGCTTTTCATATAATCGTAAATCAAAGATCAGATGATGTGTGAGAAAAGGCACTCTTGCTGTCACGCAGTTAATGGTAAATATATTAACAAAATGGACATAACTCGGATAAGTTAGCCTAAGCAGACATGATTGTTCAATGGTAGCTTAAATAGACCTATAAGTATATATGCTGCTGTTGAATATGCGAATATGTGATTATGTGATTATTTAATTTTGGACTTAACTAGACTTCTTTGTGGACTGCAAGGTTCAGTCTCTGCTCAGTTGTGTGTGCAGATCAGTTGTTTACTAGTGGGATGAGTAATCCTTTTCTGTCGCTTAGATAGATTAAAATGACTATAATGAATTCAAATTACAATTCAACAAAGCAATTACAACAAATCAAGCATTGTAACAAACAGTTGTAGAGAAACAGGAATTTGCAGAGCAAGGGTGGACATGTAGATGGCTCAGGCTGTTTTGGACCATTTAAGGAAGTTCCTTTGACCCTTGCCTATTAATAAGCTAAGAACACAGACTGCAGTAGCTCAAGGTATATAGCTGTAGACTACTTATTCTTGAAAATATTATAATAACACTGATATGTAGCTGATATACATAAACACAAATATATAAGAGCCAATATGCACAAACATAACCTAAAAAAAGCACTTGAGCACATAAACAGCACAGAAAGAGTGTCTCATATCACCTGAGCAAAGAAAAAGCACCTAAGCACAGAAAAAGTACCCAAAATCACCTAAGTACCAGATTGCAAAACTCTGATCAGCTAATAGTCTGAGGCAGATATTAATCTTGCTAATACTCAGACTTGGACTGTTATCAAGATAAAAGATAAACAGTAGAAAGTACCTTAGTGATTATATCATGCAATGCAAAGATAAAAGTTCATTGAAATTATGTAAATAGTAGAAAGTACCTTAGTGAAGCCCACACAACTCACCTGCTGCCCAAGCGCCAAGATACCACACAGCTCAAAACTGCCAAATGTATATACTGTCACTATAATATCAAACCTTAAATAAATTTAACAATTTAAATAAAGGTTAGAGTAAATTCTGTAGCACGACACTTAATTTAAAAACTAACTTATAAATTTCTTAAGAAAACAAGTTCAAACAGAAAAATAGAACACTTCAATAATAGTTTGTTAAATCCAAATGATAAGTTCAAACGAAGGACAATTATTGTTAAAAAAACGATCTAAACATGTCACTTTTATGGTTCCATCCAATCCCAATCAGTGTCATCTATATGGGAACTTTCTTCGTAATTATGATCTCTCATTTCACAGTCGACAGGCACCTTAACTCTGCCATAAGAAGCTTCTCTGCACCAACTTTGGTGTTCATCATGATCTATAGCCGGAATTACATCCTCTGCGGGTTCACAAACTTCATTCATATATGTGGTTCAGATTGACCCTCGACATAAAAATAGTCTCTTGGCAAATTTCTGTGCACATAATGCCAATCTTCTTCAAGGTCGTCTTGAGTGTAGCACTTGATGCACTTGTGATGTCAGGAAAAAAGGATCATCTTTATAACACAATTTCTTAAAGTTAACGCGAGTGAGTCCATAATCATCTACTTCCACATGGAACCAATCACGCTCGAACAACACAACACTAAATGCACTCCAATAATCAACCTCAATTATCGATTTTATAGCCCCATAATATGTGACATTACCAAGAACAGGATTGTGATCCTTGCTACTTGTGAATCTTGGAGTCAAAGCGGTTAAAGAGACTCCGCTATTTTGAGTTTTACTCCTTCATCATGATCTCTAGTGTAGAACTTATATCCATTACAAAAATATCCGGTGTACCTCCTTGCAATAGTAGAATGACCTTTTAATAGTCGCTTAATATGATCCGGGACATTATCCACCACAACCTTTTCTCTAAACCAAACCATGAATTCATTTCTATGCTCTTGTGTGAAAGGAATGGTGTCCTTCGAACAAGTGTACTATTTCATTAGTGGGTTCAGAATTATTAGAAAGCTAATATATTTAGTAAGGTCAAGTGATCGGAATGCCTGGGTGGAGGCCGCTTCCGATCAGTACTATTTCATTAGAGCGTCAAAACCGAACATCGGAAGTCGAGTCAAAAAATAGTAAAAGACGAGACGTGAAAATAATAATAAATCAACAAAGACCAAAATACCCCTAGCATCGGAACACCGAGTGCTAGGGGGTAAAGCCAAGCTAGCAGCCCGCACCAAGTACAGGGCTTGCTAGGAAGCTGCGGCTAGCTGCCCGCACCTAGTGCGTGGCGTGCTAGCATGCTGCAGCTAGCAGCCCGCACTAGGTGCACGGCATGCTAGCAGCAGCTCTCGGCAGCAGCAGCCCGCACGCAAGTGCATGGGGTGCCGGTCGAGAGAGTGCGAGCAGCAGCCCGCATTTTGTGTTGCGGGGATGGCTGGGTCGAGAGAAGGGCAACAGCAAATGGGAAGCCCAATTGGGTGCCTTGGTGCCCAAGTGGGAGTTTCCAAGTGGCTTAAGGTGAGGGAGAGAGTGGGGAGCAAGTTTGGTCCCCCTCCTCCAAATGGTCCTCACCTAACCTCTTACATGATTTTGCCACTTGTTGATTTATTACTAGTTTGATTATTAATTTTATTTTAGCTTTAAAATAAAATGGAAAAATCAAATTCTCCCGCATTGATGGGAGAGCTTTTCACACTCATGCATTTCCCTATACATACCCAAGTTGGGGTATTGGGAAAAGCACTTGAGTAAGAGTTGAAAAAGGCATCACCATTGTGAAAACCTTTGAACTCATTAATTACTCGGGTTTTGGTCGGTCTTTTCTAACCCCAAGGCATTGGACCGTTTTCGGTGGTCGAGTTGTGGGTGGACTATCATTAGAGGCCGTCGTAATTTCGAGGCTTGATTTCGAAGTAAGAGCCCCTTTCGCTTGGGCGAAGCACGCTCCAAATGTAATCGTTTTATCTAAATCTTGTGATTAATTTAATTATGTTTATGGTTTTATTTATTGCGAGTGCGGTCTTGTATTTGGGTTTGTTTCCGCGGTGATTCAAACTCACCAAACCCCAACATTGTGCCTCTTTCCACCTTCTTTTTCGTTTGTCTCTAGACTTCTTCACAAACTCTTCTTGTTCCCTTCAAAGTGTTAACCATATAAGTAAGGTAATAAAACAATATAAATTTAAACATAATGGATAAGATATTAAAAAAATTACTCACTTATTGTAATTCTCAACTTGGTCATCTAATCTTGACAATTGAACAGCACATAACGATGTGCCAGAGCCATTGTGTCTGAATCAAGAGTGTATGCCTTCCCTTTCTTCTTTGATTTCTTTTTCCTCCCAAGAGGATAACCTACCTTAGGGAATAAAGGTGATTCTTTATCAATTTCATCAGTTTTCTCTTGACTTTTGTTAAACCACTTAGATCGCTTCTTTACACTAGCATTCAAATACCTAGAGCAAAATATCAAACACTCTTCAGGCGACATCGGTTTTTAACATATGATTTTAACTTTCCGAGGTACCTTTCTATAGGGTACATCCACTAATCACACACTAGTCAACCACGCTTGATTTCATCAACCAAATGAATCGGTAAGTGGATCATTATGTCATAAAAGGTGGAAATATTTTTTCTAGTTCACAAAGAGGCTCAACAACTCCTGCTTGAAGGCGACCCAAATCTTTCAGATTGATTACTCTCTTGCATATTTCCCTAAAAAAGCCACTCGATCTCATAAGAGGTAAAGCAACATGATTTGGTAAAGTTTTTCTAATTGCTGATGGAAGCAAGTGTTGCATTATTATATGAGCATCATGACTCTTGTACCGTGATATTTCCCCCTCCTTCACTTGCACAAACCTTGCAATATTTGATGCACAACCTTGAGGCAGCTTTGCCTTCTTCAAAACACTACAAAATATGATTTTCTCTTCCTTCGCCATTGAGAATGATGCTTTGGGAGCAAAACATACCGCTCGTGTAGGGAATATTTCAAGCATCCCACACTTGAGCCCCATTATGATCATACAATGAATGGTGGCGTCCAAAGGGAAGGAAGCTAGAGTAAAAGAGTCATCAACAAGTTTTAGGAACTTGTAAACAGTTCACAGGGTGAAGGTTACACCCCTTCACGATCCATGAGATCGCTAACTCCATATTGTTCTTGAACCATGACTAGATATTCGGGGATGAAGGTACAAATCCAACCTAAAAGAAATTGAACCTGCCCTAAAAATAGGCCTCTACTTTATTCTTCTCGTATTCATGTGCGCTTTCTGACTAACATACAATCAATAGTTTAATCCTAAACCTATTAATCTATGTTGGTTGAATATTAATGCACAAACAAATCTATTATTGGCGATCACTTGAATTATAATCATATTAGCCTAAACAAGATTATTAATTATCTTATTATGCGTGATTACAAGTACAAATTCCCTTTAAACATGTATAAAAGGCGTGATCAAGCAATAATAACAATAATATAATATCAAGAAACAATCATCATCAAAATAATAAAATTCTCAATCTCAAAGCATAATAGTAATAGCAAGATCCTAGGCATGATACTAACAAGATTAATAACAAACCATAACATGTCACTAAACAATAAAAATCAAAGCATTATCCCTAACATGATACTAACATGATATTAGAAAGAATAGGAAGCATCATAGAAACATACATGATATTAGAAATATTAGTTATGACCCTAAACATGATACTAGGAAGCAATAAAAACATCCTAACATGATACTAGGAATTAAAATAATTAAAGGATGCATGATTTCTATATCAAAAGAACAACAAAGTAATTAATTACTTACTTGGATGCCTCGTATATCTTTCTAATAACAAAATACACGCATGAGTAAATTCAAGGAAAATAATAAATAATAAATCTAAACAAAGAATTGAAATAGGATTTGGGACCAAACCCTCAAAAATTATCAACATTTCACGTCTAGGGCGAAGGCAACTTCGAACTTGGCTAGATGTGTCTAGATCTTATGAATGTGAAATTTTATATTTTGTAAAAAGGTGTAGAAGGGCTTAGAAAGAGGTATAAACAATGAATAAGATTCTAGCTTTTAGAGAGAAGAGAATAGAATTATATGATTGTTGATGAATAAAAACGGGAAGATACGACCCGGCCCCTATTTATGGAAAAATAGTCCAGAAACGATAGAAAAGAAATCGAGTCCCATTTGGAATAAAAGACCTCCTGTCGCAAACTCTAGGAGTTAGCGCTAGACGACAGGTATTAGCGGCATGTGACAGGCTTCAGCGCCAAGCGACAGACAATGTCGTTTGGCGCTGGGACAATTTTTTGTGGATTTTGTTTTTATCATATTTTTTTATCTAAAAATCCAAATAAGTCATATAATATGTCGTTGGAAAGCTCTTGAAGTCTAATTTCCAAACCGATTAGAATCAGATTAAAACATTTTGTAGATAAAAAGATATGGCTGAAATAGTGTTAGAGTGTCAATTTTGGATAGAGTTTCGTATTTCTTTCATATCTTTTTCGTTATAGCTCGGAATTAATATTATAATATATCATTGGAAAGATAATTTCAAGATATATTCAATTTAATAAGATCTAGATAAAAATTATGACGCACAAAATAATATATGACTATCTTTGAACATCTTTAAATTCGAATAGAATTATGATTTTAAAAGGGGGAGTTTTTATTCAATTTCAAATTCTTTAATTTTATCTTTTCAAAAAGGATAATTAAGATCTTTTAGAAACTCATAAAATCTTCTAATTAATTCTAATTAGTTTAGAAATGGGATTAAACCTTTGGACCCTCCACAAGATCATTGGGTCGTAGGTAAAATCCGGTTTGGGCCTAGTTTAGTATTTTGGCCATAACTTCCTCATTATTCATCGGAATTGGGCTTATAATATATCGTTGGAAAGGTATTTTCAAGCCCACCCTATTATTGGACCCTTATCATGGACCAAAAAAAATTGGTCTGGCTATTGTCATAAATAGAGTATATTTTCAAAAACAGAAAGAGAAATATTTTAATAAAAAACAACCGCATCACTAGACTTTTCACACTTTCACTTCATTCGATAATCAAATGGCGTGAAAGGTATTCATCACTGGGTTTTGTTTTGGAGAGATACATTTGGGTGTCTACAGCTCGTCATCTGTATCTATAGGATTTAATTCTTCCCTTATACCCATTTCTTGCAGATCTAATCGAGCCTTATGATGATCTTTTGACTTTCTAGGTACGTCTAACAAAGTTGTCAACACATTATCACATACATTTTTTCGAAGTGCATGATATCCAAATGATGACGACACCCACAATCTTTCCAATAAGGCAAAGTGTGGAAGACGGAGGACTTTCTCCATGGACAATCTACATATTTCTTCTTTGGTTGTAACTTTCCAAACTTTTTTTTCTAGTTTTCCAACAAGCTTGAAATTTGATCCCATGTTAAAGGATATGGAGATGTCCTCTCTTCTTATTCCCAGTTAAAAGAATATGTATCATGTCGCCAAGGATGATTTTCATCTAACCATCGACGATGAGCCCAATAGCAGGATTTGTTACTATTACTCAAGTGATGATGATCAGTCTCGTAGTGACAATAGGGGCATGGAAACTTCCCTTTGGTGCTCCCTGGAAAGTCACTAGTCGTTGATTGTAAAGCTGCACGCATCTTAAATGTTTGACGCTTCTCCGCATCATAGGTGTCAAACCCATACTCCCACAAATCTCTAAGTTCTTGAACCAATGGTTGAAGGTAGACATCAATGTGATTTCCAAGAGAGGTGGGCCCGGGAATAAGAAGGGATAACATTAAGAATTTTGGCTTCATGCACAACCATGGTGGTAAGTTATAATTAATTAGAACAACATGCCATGTACTATATTGTGTGCTCATTGTTCCAAATGGATTGAATCCGTTGGCCCAAACGAACATTACATGTCTCACTAGCAAAATCTGGGTACTTTTGGTCAAACTCTTTTTATGCCTCACCATCAGCGGGATGCCTTAATAACTCATCTTTCTTTCTTTCTTCATCGTACCACCTCATTAGCTCTGCTGTTTCTGAACACATGTACAACCTTTGAAGCCTTTGTTTAAGAGGGAAATGACAAAGAACTTTTTCAGGGACTTGATGCACTTTCTTAGGTGGTTGATTGCTAATATCTTCTTGGGATTAAGTCTGTGCTTCTTTCCACCTTGGAGCATGACAAGCATAGCAAGACGTGGCAGCTTCATGCTCCTTCCAATATAGCATACAATCATTATGAGATGCATCAATCTTGTCATAATGAAGACCCAGATCTTTTATAAATTTCTTTGCCTCAATAAAAGAGTTGGGCAAATTGGATGCATCTGGTAACACTTCTCGAAAAAGCTCTAAAAACTCTAAATTTCTATATTAGTTAACCCATGAGTACACTTCAAAAGGTAAAACGAATACGAAATGATAGCTTTGAAATTTTTTTGCACCTAGGATATAACTCTTGTTTTCCATCTTCAACTAACTTATAAAACTTCTTAGCCTCATCATTGGGCTCATCTCCAACACCTTCATACCTTTCTGCCACATTTCTATGAACATCACATATTAGACGTTCAATATCGTCATGCATGTCGTCAACATCCCTCTTATTATTTGATGTTGTTGACATGCCCTTTTCATAGCAATGTTGTTGAGCAATGTCTCTCTACGATGCCAGAAGCGGTGATAGCATGCCTTACACGGGCAAGTAATTTGATTTCCAATTGCTCGTGTAGAAGAAGCTTTATCTAAGTAATCCTCTACACCTTTCTCATACTCATGACTAGATTGTGAGAAGTTGGTCTAACTACTCATTTCGTCTTCTTTATCAAAATTTAAACATAGTGAATTTTAAAATATAAAATATTGGCATATAATTTTAACATTTCTAAAAGGAATGACAATATCCATAGAAATAAAAATGCCCATAAATTCAACCTCGTATAATAACAATAAAAATCAAACAAGTAGCTCCAAATGTATGCTTTGATTTGAAGACTACTATACTTCAGAGAAGAAAACAACTTAATTTAGGAAAAAAATTTCCCTATCTTTAGGTTACTATCATCCAAAAACTGCTGATGTCATTTTTTTTTTACACCAGGCAAAGGTATACACTTTTGCTAGCCTTCTAGGTAGGCTTATACAATCTTCCGAATCTTCACCAAAGTTTTAAGGATGAATGGGTTTGGACTATGGAGTGAGAATGGAAGATGAAAAGTAGAGAAGATGGGTAGAGGATAAAGAGGTAAAGGGAAAGTTCCACGTTGGGGAGGGTTAACAAACCAAAATAGAGGGGAAAGGGAACTCCAAGAATTTAATAAGGAAATTCAATGGTAAAATCCACCCACCTAACAGCGACAAAGGGAAATAGCATTTTAAACCACCTTTTCCTTTATTGATATCCACAAACAAAGGACATGGAGAATATGCTAACTTTCTGAAGTATTGTTCTGCTTGAGGAGTAGGCATCTAGTGTATTGTTTTATCTAAGAAACTTTCTACCCTATTATTTCAAATAATGAACTCCTACTGTTTAATAACTTTCAAGAAGATAATTTAAAGACAAGCAGCTGCCCTTTCAAGCTAATAGCATTATTACTATCAGAATTAAGGGCCAATTACCCCAAGCTAATTTCACTAACTACATCTTCGGTTTTTATAATCATTCGATTGCACATCACATCACACCAAGCCAAGCATATATACATGCATACATATAAAATGAAAAGCATGTTGCAAGCCACATAATTAATGAGAACATTGATTAAAAAAAATGCATTCTACACAGGTATGTCTCAGAAAAGCCATTAATATACAAAAAAAAAAAAAAAAAAAAAAAAAAAAAAAAAAAAAAAAAAACCAAAACAAAAATTGCGTGAAACAATGAATTACATCAGGTGCAAATTTCAATTAAAATAAATATAGAATCCAATCAAAACCAACCCTATAACTAGATAGTGATGATAATTCACATAAAATTTAATGATTACATAACCTAAAAATTAAAAAAAAAACCACCAAAAAAAATTACTAATATACCTTATTGAAAGCGCGAGTTTTAGAACCCCAGATGACAATCGAATTAACGACTGATTTTGTGATGTAATTTGCGAATTGAACTTGAATTGCGAGATTGGGTTTTTTAGGAACATGGAAGAAGAATGTCGCTGCTGAATGAGGAATGAAATTGAATCTAGAATTGAGAGATTTTTTTTTCCTTAATTCTGGTGGTTAAAATTAATTGAGGCTCAGAAAAAAAAATTTATAATAGATTTGGTGGTAATCCTAAAATTATATAATAAATTGGTAATTAAATTTGGGGGTTGACACTGACTTTTACTTTATTAAAAATGTTTAATCACCCTAAAATAATATAGCACCTCTTAGTGCTACCGTAAAATGTTACTTATTTTAAAAGTGTTACTATGGAGTGTGCCCACGTGCCTTGCGTGCTATGCCGGGCCACAGGCCAAACTGTGTCACTTTTTTTTTAATAATAAACGTAAATAAAGAAACGATATATATATATATATATATATATATATATATATATATATATATATACATATTTTAGTACAACTTAATTTTATAAAAATAATGTTATTAATTTATGTTTATGTTAATGTTAATATATTTTGTTTTGAACAACTTTATTTTAATTAAGGTTATATAAATTATTTATCTAATTATGTTTAAGTTTATATAAATAATTTTATTAATTTAGCAAAAAAAACAACAATATATATAATAAAAAAATTATGAGTGTCGTGCCCGGCCGTGCCGCATGTCGTGCCCTCGTGCCACGTGTCGTGCCGGCTTGCCGACCCACGGGCCGGCCACTGTGCCGCCCACCATGCCTCGTGTCGCCGATTCCCAGATTTGTGTTCACGGCACGACCCATAGGTGGGCCGTCGTGCCAGCGTTCGTGCAAAGTCGGGCCGTGCAGGAATCGTGTCGGGCCCGTGTCGCCCGCATACCGACACAGCCCGTGCCGCCCGCATGCCGGCACGACCCGTGCTCATCTTTAGGACTGTTACTTATTAATCTAATATTTTGCATTTCAAGAAGTGTTACCAATTACATGTTACATAAAGTCAATTATGCACTAGTGCCCGCGAGTAGCACGACATGACACAACATGAAGACCAAGGAGTGGGCCGTGTTGTGAACATGGTTTGGAAATTTCCGCACGTGCACGGCACGAACCCATGTGAAGCACGACGATTCGGCCCGTGGTACGGTCCGCTAACACGGTACGGTAATACCCCAATTGGTACAAAAATTAACACAATTACTTAATATGTTTGGTAGTTTGAGCATAACTCTTTTAAAAAGGTATACTACCTCCGGTTATTAGTCACAACAGAGGAATATTTTATGTCTCACAAATAATTCCCTTTGTTGCAAGTGAAAGATTTATGTCTTCGTCAAGGGCAATTACTAGATATATTAATGGATCACTATTGTGTAGATAATAAGTTTGTTTTTTTGGGTCATCATTGTATGTTGCTAGACGTGATAAATGATCTTTAGGTTAGTCAAATACTCCAAAGCTCAATAAAATGGATCCTATGAGGTCACACATAAGGATCATGGATTGATTAAAGAATGAGGCCCATTATTGGGCCTCATGGAAGGTGGTCATCCATATAGTATTAAAGGGAGAGTATTTGGGCTTGGTTTGGTCTCTAATTATACATGTGATGTATAAATAAAGGTCTTGCTTAGGGTTTTATATAACATACTTAAGTAGTCAATTGAGAATAGACTAGCTAGCAACCAAACCCTAGCCTCTCGCAATCTCTCTCCTCACTTCCTTCATCACATCCTTTCAACCGTTTGGCTGCTTGATGCACGATGGTAGTGTGGTGGTGTTTGTGGCTGGTTTCCTCCTCCCCTCTCCGTAGAAGGTTGGTCGAAGTTTTCGTATCCGACCAACTATCATTAGTGGAGGTTCAATTCTAACTCATGGTCTAATTAGAGGAGCAACACTTAGGGTTCTTATTCTCCTAATCGTGTATGGTCGATCGCTCGTGGAAATCACGTGTCAATGGTAGATCATGTTTATGTGCGAACGAATATGATTTGTGAAATTCCGCAATATAGTACCTAATACCCTACGGTGATATTAGTTAGCCTCATGTATTTACGCATATTGATCATAATTCTTGTATGTCCACAATTTTAATTCATTTAAAAGGGGAGAATTCTAATTATGGTTAAATCTTTATTTTAAATGGAGATTTAAGTTTTGGAATTTGTGTAAATTTGATTTAAATCTCTCAATGTTTCCTAGAAAAATCCAAATAATGCCCTAGTTTTTTGTAAATTTTGATTAAAATAAAGCCTTAAATTTTGATTTTTGTGCTTAATTTTCATAATTTTTGAATATTTTATAATTCATGAATTTAATTGGATTGATTTGATACATGAAATATGATTTTTTTTTTTATTTAGTACAATCAATAATTTGATCTAAGTGTTAGATTGAATTTGAATTAATTTTATGAAGAGCCTTAATATTGAAATTAAATTAAGAATTTGGTTTCAAAATTGAATTAGGCATAAATATTATGTTTAATTCAAAGGACCTAATTTAATTAAATTTTAAAAAAGTTGTTAAAATTAGATTAAATCTCAAAAAAAGGGGGGGGGAGGATTTTAATTTTTGATAGGGGGCAGCCGTGGCTGGGTGGACAAACCACCGTCAGGTGGCCATCGCGGTCGCCCAAGTGGTTGGAGAGAAGGGCAGGGAGGGCGGCGAGTGGCGGACATGCAGCATCAATGAAGTGCAACTGTTGCACTTTCGCATGCTGCTAGCGTTCTACTGGTGCCTGGGTTTAGCCTAGCAGTGACGCGCGATGGCATCCCTTAGACGATGTTAGGGGCGAATTCCAACCAAGGATGAAGGTGTTTGACTGGAACAGTTCCAGCTAGGGTGCTGGTTGCACTGTGGCTTGGCTTTGTTCCTGGCTACGGTTGTGCGTTTGTTGGGGTTCTCCTTGACTTACGTGTAGTGCAGAAGCTATACCTGCGTTGGTTGGGGGGTCTTTCCCAGGCTAACGTGACAACATATTTTAAAATGAAAAATGTGGTATTAAAATTATTTATTTTATTTTAATTTTATATAAAATCTTATTTAATCTAAGATTATTTCAAATTTTAAAATTTGTTTTAATCTTTGAAAATTTCAAAGATTATTGAGCAAGATTAAAAAAGATAAGGATTGACTTGATAATTTGATTATCCATAGTTAACTAGGTAATTGATTTAAAATTTATTGATTGGCTAGTAATTAGGATAGAATCTCCTGAGTGTATTAGTATGATCTCTAAAGATAAATATGATTTATCTTTTAAGATTAAAACAAGATTTGATTCTATCTCAAGTCTAATTTTAAAAATATGATATTCTAAAGATGGTTATGAATAATATATGATACTATCAAATTACTGATTAAAATATGAAATTTTTTGGTGCTATGTTTCTGTAATTATGAACATTCGTCATTGTATTTTAGGCAAGCATGTTTATATGATATTTATTAAGTGGCAATTTTTTTAATATATATGATACAATGTTGCTATATGATGACTAGTATGGTGGCCCAGTAGATTACTAAATACGATCTGCGCATCGTGATGTATTTTTGTAATCTAAGTACGATATGTTGGGTTTCGAGTGTGTCCAACACTATGTGGAAGGAAACCCACCCAAAATTCATACATAGATTAAATCAACTAAACATGCAAAAATAATTAATTAAAAACACAATTAATTAACAAGAAGAATAGAGAAAAAAAGCTCACCTTTGAAGCGTGCGTGCTTCGCTTAACAGTAGAACTCGGACTTAGAAGCTTTGAGTTCTGCAAGAGCGCGAACTTCCAACGGCTTACACCCTCGATACCAAACCGAACCGGCCCCTACCCCGAAGCATAGTCAGGGCTAGACCAAAATTACTTAGAGTTATTAGAACAAAGATTTTTTTATTTCTCTTTGGAGATCCCTTCAAGTTCACCAACTCATGTGCTCTTTCCCAATGTCAAATGATTGGTATTTATAGGGAAACGTGCCCTTGAAATCCCATCATCTTTAAATGTGGGATAGTTGGTAAAAAAGCAAAATAAAACTTAATTTAGTTTTAAAATCAAATTAAAAGCCAAATGAATCAACAAACAACAAGTGGCATGAGGAGAGCAAGGGGTTAGGTGAGGACCACAAGGGGGTACTATCAACCCCTTGCTCCCCAAGAAATCCTACAAAGTCGGGCTCCCCATCTGCACCAATCGGCCTGCGCCAGCTGGCCCCAGCCTAGGGCACCAAGGCGCGCCACGCTGGCGGCCTGGTGCTTGACTGGGCCTTCTAGTGAGCCCGCACGCATGTGCGGCCCAAGAAGCATGCCTCACATCATTGTGGGTTGTTGCTGTTGCGCTGTTCATGCTAGCCGAGCCCAACTAGCTATTGCTACCTCACGCAAGGCCCTACTAGCATTTGTTGAAGGCCTTGCGTTCGATGGTGTTACACCTTGGAAATTTCCCCCTTTTTAAATGTATGTTTTACTCTTTTAAAATACAAAATAGGAAATAACAAGGGCTTACCGCCACCGTGACAACGGATAAGGCATTTATCAAAGACACACAGAGGAAGACATATTCAAAACCTTCAAACAAGGTCAATTTCCAACGGTCTAACCGAAAATAGTAAAGTCAAGTCAAAATCAAACGAAGTCAAACCTATAACTTGGAACCATTGCAGGCCCTTTAAAAACCAAAAATATTTACACTACTACAAAAAAGGCCTTAGAGAATTATTAGAATAGGCTTTATAGATCGCCTCAGAGGCATTCTTCTGCTAAGCGATGTGTAAAGCTTACATAACGGGTACAAGAGGCGTTCTATATGCAAGACAAAAGAGAACAGGTATAACGGGCGTTCTATATGCAAAAGATAACCGTTCTCTTTCCTATTTCATATGCTTATATAAAATGAAAAAAAGAGAACGGTTATCTAAGGGTTCGTTTGGCATCTTTGTGGTTTTCTGTTTTTTTGGTTTTTTGTTATTTAAAAGTATATTATATACGTCACATAATGAATCAAAAAATATTTAGACTTATTGAAAGCATGATAATTTTGAAAACTGACAACTGAAAAGTGGAAACACCTTTTTCTTGTTTCCTGTTTTTGGTTTTTAGTTTTAAAAAAAAAACAGGAAACTGAAAACCAAAAATAATGCCAAACAAGCCCTAAGATAACCGTTCTCTTTGTTAATTTTTTTTTTAAAAAATATAATTAATTTTTGCAGGTTGCACGCATATATACTAATTAACACCATCAATTAATAAATCAAATCAAATTGAAATTGTATAACTCAAATATCAAATTAAAATGAACTTTTATTATCCTTTATATTCAAATATTTACATATATTTACATCTCAAGTACATTTGATACAATTCTACTGCTAACTTAATAATTATTAGAGTGCTAAACTGCTAACTAGTAACTAGTTCGAAATTGCAACTTGAATTATCAAAGGCAATTCAATCGCAGCGGCGCTTCAACAACATGAACCACTAGCAGCGCTTCCCCCAACTTGAACCACTAGCATCGCCTCCACCAACCTCGACCACCACAACGTCTCCACCACCTCAACCACCACAGCGCCTCCATCAATAGTGCACGCAAATAGTGAAGCCGCACTAAACACCCACAAATGAAAGATGAAAAATCAGAAATTATAATCCAAATCATAACATAATAATGAGTTGATAAGCGTTGTAGATCTAAAATTAATAATGGAGAATTAAAATGCACTTCTCCAACCACCTCACACGACCCACCAAAATCAATTCAATGCCACCATTTGCAACAACCACCTACCTCGATAATGTAAAACTCTATTCAACCTGCAACAACGACCATAAACAGAGCAAAATCAAGATTGCAATGGTTCGAGCTTTCGCGCACCGTACTGCATCGGAGTTGGAGTTGGGGTTGAAAAAACAAAGCGATGCAATGAATTGGATAGTTGTAAATAGAGGAAGAAGACGACGGGGAGGAAGATAATTGGACGTCAGCTCGGAGATTTTTAGGATCAGACATTGAGGAATGAAGAGAGAAGAGAAAGGAGTAAGGGTTTTAGAGGAGGGAAGTGCGTGAGAGATGAGGAAAGAGGAAAGGAGAATGACGGCTATGTTAAGAGGAAAGAGGATTTAGGGTTAGAATTTTGGGCCTCTTGGTATGTTAGCCTTTTCTTTTTATTTAAAATATAATAATGTTAAACATATAGAGCGGTTAACTAAGAGGGGCGATCTATATTGTAAGTGTAAAATTTGGATATATCAAATAGAACGGTTTACTAAGATATGTGTTCTATATAATAAAATCACAATTTAATAAAATAAAATAAATAAATCAAATAGAATGGTTAACTAAGATAGGCGTTCTATATAATCCTAGAGATCGCATATCTAAGTTAACAGTTCTATATCTTGCGTTTCTTATTCTAGTTTTTGTAGTAGTGTTAAAACCAATATGTTAGTCTCATCAAACAACAATAACAATCCCACAATAAATAATAATAATGCATATTCAAAGCAAAACTAGAATAGGATTCGCTCTTCACTCAAACCCCAATATGAATATGCCGCATCACTTGGAAAGCTTCTCTTTAAATTGTCCCCACTACTCGCCATTAGAAATGGGTCGTCGTAGGGCCAAGATAAAGATAAGGCTAAACAATCACACAATCAGCAATACTAAGTACATAAGCGTTACAAAACACACCAACATGCTTTCATTCTATCATCACACAACTTACCTTGTTGCACCTGTAAACAAGCATACAAGAAATTCAACATCAACTATACATATACCAATGTCCATTTAATTTGATTACGCATCGAATGGGTTTCCAACAAAATCCCTACCCCAAATAAATTGAGGTAAACTACACTGGGAGCTAACCGGGTAGGCAAATGTCACATGAAGTGACAGACGTCCTGCCCATAATAATAATAATAATAATAATAATAATAATAATAATAATAATAATAATAATAATAATAATAATAATAATAAAAGGAAAATACATTGTCATGTACTCCCAGTAAAAGTTATGGTTATATATAAAACCCCAAACCCATAAATTTTATACTCGAGGTATATACGTTCCAAAAGTTTTGGTGCGCAATCTCTTTCACTTTACGTATTATTAGACTTGGTGATGACTCTCAACCATAACACAAATCAAACATTATAATTATACAAGAAACTAATCATACTAAATTAATTCTTGAATAATTAGTGACCATGTAACTTTAAATGTTAAATTCTTTTTAATCTACACCTCGGTATCAAAGAAACGCGCCGCAAATCCTATCCCTCATAAAAACACCTTAAGTGCACATAAGCACCGTAATATAATTTATTCCTATGCACTAAGACACTTGATAACTCAATTCCCGTTCTTAAAGCATCAATACAAATTATATGAACCATAATAAAATTTCCTTTTCATATTCAAAACCAAATTAAACATTTAGTTTTATCAAACATGCCTTCTATGATGCTAATAATAAAACTGTTGTTCATATCCAACATGCCATCATATTTAATTCCAATCCCAATTCATCACAAACAACGCATATATCACAAATCATATATTCTTCAACATCAACCATAAAACAAATTCTAATCAATACCTATCATGATACTGCTTGGAATTGACTAACCGCCTAGCATGCTTCTACATATTCAAATAATTATCAAGTACACGAACGTACCTCGAATTGCTACCAAAATTCGCAACCTTGCTTAACTAATCCAAATCAAAGTCTCCTACATAAACGAACAATAACCCTATATCAATTACCCTTATATACACAATTTCCAGCAACTTAAACTCACTTTAAACCACTCAAAATATTTAGAGAATTATTATAAACCCTTAGTTAAACTCCTCTTTAGTTGGTAATTAAACCCTTTTTATCCAACCACAACACCATTACATTAAATAAAATTCCAGCAATATTACTTGATGAAAAACCCCTTAAAATTCATCAAAACTCTCTCTTTATGCTTAATTAATGATTAAAATCAATGGGTAATCAAAACTCTCAAATTAATTTATGGAAGAACCCTAAAAATATCATCTTTAATATTTTAAAAACCCAGACTTTATAAAGTATGAAATATGAATTGTTTCGGGGTTTTCTGATGTCCTGCGGGAGAGTTACAATTCCGAGACTGGAACCGGACGCCTGTACCTGCAAAATAACGGAGACTCCTGAGAGCTCCGCCTCCAACGGTCAAGTTAGTACCTGATTAAGGAGTAATTAATACGGAAATTAAAGTAATAATATCTCTCTAGGTGAGAGTGTTTAATGTTGGTAATCTGCGTCGTTAGCGAGATTAGCCGGTTATTAGTGTTCCGTAATGTTTCTGTTCTTCTCTTGATTTCTTGATTGCTTAATTAATGAGGATTAATTGAGTATTTATAGCCTTGAGAAGCGTGCCACTCTCTAGGTTTAGGGTAAACCTAGGGCTGACCGGGCCTCTAGACAGGATTGGGCCTTGTTGGCCGGTTTTCCCATTTGGCATGGGTGGACACGTGGCGTGCCTCGATTGGTCCGTAGAGGACGTATCTGTGATTGACACGTGGCAGGCTCCTATTGGCCTTCGTGAAGGACACGTGGCGGAACCTGGTTGGTCCACTTGTCAGACGGTGATTGGTGGATAAAAATCCCCTAATCATTTGCCCCTCACAGGTGGCACGTGACTGGTCACGTGTCGCCTGTGACAGGTGTCGCATGGTGACAGGCGACGGCCTGCTACAGGTGTCACCTTGCAAACGGCTGAGAGATTTTCCCGCCCAAATTTCGAATTTGGAAGCGACCCTTCGCCTTCTCACTTTGCCTATAAAAGGAAGTGCTGACTTCGGTCATTTTCACATTTGAGAACTTTGCGAGAACATTCGGACCCCTGAACTTGCTCTGACATTTCGGACCTTTTCTGCCTACCGCCTGTTCTGACAAGCCGACTGCACCGGATTTCCAGAACTTCATCAACCGTCACTCGTTCAGGTAACTCAGTTCTCTTACTCTTAATTTTCTTTTTATTTTTTGAAATGGCACCACGGAAGCACACGACACGACCTAAGTTAGTGATCAGCCGGTCACCGGGGACGGCTGAATCTAGGACTAGGAGTGCCGCCTGCCCTTTTCTGGACCCATCTTTGCCCTTTATACAAAGTCCGACTGTATCTGTGTCTATGCAGAACGTGATGGCCAGAACAAAACAGACTGCTATGATATCAAACTCAGACGACTCCTCCCAAAGGGTGCTCATTAGTGAAACATCTGACCAGGCGCCAGATGTAGAATTGAAACGAGGCGGCTGCCAAGCCGACAGTTCTGAGAGAGGGGCCAAGGTGGTCCCTTCCCATCTTACCGTGGACATGTCTAATTTTCCTCCTGCTCCTTCTAAGGGAGAGGAGGCGGGCCCCTCTGGGAGAGGGGAGGAGTCGTCCTCTTCGGACTCGTCAGAGGACGAGTCCGAGTCCAGCTCTTCTGGCCACAGTTCTCCAAGCTCAGAAGAAAGACATAGCCGCCTACAAGAGGCGAGACTTTCTCATGCAGTTGAGAAGGGGGACAATTGGGCGGAGCCGTCCGCCTCTTACAGAGAGGAAAACGCCCCCTACTACTGCATGGTACCCCGGGGCCGGATCGCAACCATGCAAGACAAAGTGGCGAGCTTTATTGCTAACCACAGAATGGGCCCGGAATTTTTACTGTTCGTGCCGGATCCAGAAGACACTGTCGTCTGGCCGACTGGTACCAGCTATAATGACGGCTGCTTTGGCTGCTATGTGGCGGCCATCAAAGCTGGACTGCGCTTCCCATTACATCCGGCTGTTCAGCGGATTTTAGATGGGTATGATTTGGGGTTATGGCAGTTAGCCCCCAACTCTTGGGTAAACGTACTCGGCTATGTGGCCGGGTGCGAAATGTACGGGGTGGAGCCAAGCTTTGAGGCTTTCGCCCACATGAACTATCTCAGCCGGACCCCTAAGTCGGGAGGTACCGGCTGGTATCAATTAACAAGCCATAGGGGTTACCTCATGACGAGAGGTAAAGCGAACAAATGGAAGGATTGGCGGAACACCTTCCTTATCATTGAGGGTTCAGACACGGAGCTGAACCAACGTTTTAACAAGTGGAATAGGGATCCGCCTCTTCTCGCAGGCGGCCGCAGCATGCCGCCTGTTCCCCCAAAGGCTAAAAGAGAGATCCTAGACAAAGGACTCTTCAAAGTAGAGACTAGGGTGAACCCTACTTCAGGGGTACGAGAGCAAGTACCCCTAAACTGCGTCCCGAGCTTCAAGTGGCTCTATGACGAGTACTTTTTGGCCGCCTGTGGCCTCAGCAGTCGGTGCTCTAGAGGTAGCCGGCCTGACAAATACTCTGTTTTTTTTTTCCACGCCTTGTTTACTTGGGATCTTTACTAACTTTGCTGTTTATTTTTTGCAGCTGACGCCATGAGTAAAATAACAGCATCCAAGACTGCGGCGACCATGTTGCGGGCCTCTCTCATGCAACAGTCTTATGCCGACTCCCCCAACAAGGGGGCACCCTTGGTAGGCTTCGAAAACTCTTCCTCTTTTAGTTGTCTTATGCATATACTAACTCTTTTTGTTTTCAGTCTGGCACTCCAAGGGCTTCTTCCTCGCAACAGCCGGACCCCAAGGCCCGGAGGACGACTGTTGCCAGCTCTCCTGGGTCTTCCAGGAAAACACTGGCGGCTGAGAAGCAGCCGGCCACTTCTTCTAAAACCCCGGCGGGGCCGCCTAGAAGTATGGACAATTACTTGTAAAAACTCATTTGCTTCCTTCTTGACTAGGTCTAACTTGCTTTTTTTTTTTTTTTTCGCTTGATGCAGCCGGCCCTCAGGAGCTTGACTTGGTTGAGGTAGCCAAGTCCATGATCAAAGTAGTTCCTCCATCTGAAAGGGAGGCGGTCAGGGGTGCCGGCACCCTTGACCTTGATGGGATTTCAGGGGTCCTTGCTGAGGTATACTTAGCATATTTTTGAGTATTCGAGTTCCAGGACGCCTGTTATCTTTTTTGTTTGGAAACTGACGCCTGTTTTTTTGTACTTAGGCCCTGCTCCGAGTTAACAGCCTTCGCAAGCCGATTGATCGGAAAAACAAAGAGGTAAAGGCCGCAAAAGCTATGGCCGCCTCCAACTGTGATAA